TCCGTAGGACCTCCTCCATCTGCATTTGGGTCCCGATCCGCCTTGATCTCCAGCTTCATAGCAGTCCTGTTGTACTGCAAGTAGGGGACGGTGCCGTCCTCGTTGATGATCATGAGTTCCTGAGCCTGCTTCCGGGCCTCCTCTGATGCTATGCAGGATTCCAGCCTTTGATGCCACACCGTCATGAACCGGTTCAGAAGGGTGGCCCTCAGGGACAGGGTGAGCTTCTCCGGGCTGTTGGTCTTGGTGGTTTGCCAGACCTCCGTTGTTTTGTGCATCTCTGACACCATCGACAACATTCCTTGTGTCTGGCAAAACATGATGAAGCCGCTTTCGGTTCGGCTCACATTGTGTTGATCTTCGTGACGAAGAAGGAGCTGAGCCATGGCCTGGCAGAGCTCGGTCATGGTCTCGGTCTCGTCCTTGTCCGAGGATTTCTTCTCCTCCTCGGTCCACCACTTGTTGCCCCAGCCACCGCCTGAGCGACGATTGCTTCAGGAGCCCTTGGCCTCGTTGCGCGGGAGCTTGGAGCCCTTGCCCTGTCGGCGTTCTGGCTCCTGGTCCTCTTCCCGAACTCCCCGTTTGTTGTCGTTCCCGGCTCCCGCCTGCATCGGCTCTTGGCTGCCTCGTGCTCCAGCCATCCCCAGTGACGCTGGTGTGGTCCCGGGATTCTCCATGAGACTCTTCATGAGATTCGCCTGGTCCTGGGCTGCAAGCATCTCCTTCTGCTGTTCCTCCGACATCCGAAGAGCCATGGGGAGGAGCTGGATCCTGCAAGGTATGTTGCTGACCCAACAAGAAGAGAATGCCAGTACGCACAAGGGCAACACAATGTCGTGCATGCTTAGCCCGACTGACGTGCTTGGCCTGGAAGGGCACGTGGCACCACTGGCAAGGACTATGCACCGTTGAGCGGCGTGCTTCGAGCCACGTCTGGAGCCGTTCGAGCACTGGCTTAAACTCACAATGTTGGGCTGCAATGTGTCTCGTGAGATACTGCGGTCTCGCAAGCCACTGTGCACAGAAAGGGCAATGGTGCAGCTCATCTTGTTGACATAAGTGCTTGGCTAGTTTCTGCCAGTCACCTTGCTGCATGACAGTGCGAGTACGCAAGTCGATCGCCTCGAAAAGTGCTGAAAGATTCTGAAACAGGAGGGCCGTTGGCGCCGGAGTCCGCACACTGGCAGTTTGAGGAGCGCTGAGCTCAGCAGATTGTGGTCTGACGGCAGAGGTTTGATTAGAAACCATAGTACCGGTGTCACTATTAGTTCAGGGTTCTGCACTCCCGAGCCCCTGCCGGCCTCATTAGCGTGCAGAATCGGGCATCTGAGCTTCTCAAAGTGTTGACAGAACGCTGGCGAATTGCCAGTCACAATGCTTACAGGTGGGCAGTCCCTTAACAGCATGCTTCATAAAATCTCTCCTCATTTGTTGTTGGGTTCTAGGAGTCTTAGGGCACAAAGTGTTGGCAGGTTTGTGCTTTTGAGACATGTGCTGACGTAGCGTCTTGGCAGAAAGAAAGTATACGCCACAGGTCGGGCACGCAACCGGTCGAGCGCATCCTCTAACTTCCTGTAGTCTGGACTGTGTGTCATGTGCCAGGATCCCACTATTTCCTAAAGAGGGTGTTTGGGCAAGATCCAGAAATCCTTCTAGGTGACTGCCTAGGTAATTCCAGTGTGCCTTCACCCTCTGAGGCTGCAATGTACTCATCTGACCTGCGCTGACCTGATGGACACGCTTGCACACCCTCTGCTGCAAGTCACTGACAGGGTCCGGTATGTTGAGTCGCTGCAGTAGAGCCCTCGAGGTTTCATGGGTGATGTGAGAGGGGGACTTGGCCAAAAGGCGGGCCTGCTTGGCTACAAGTTTTCTTAGCAGCTCCGGACCTTTCTGGCTGAGACCTGTGCAGTCTAAACCATGCATCAGTGTGGCTCGGACACAGGCTTTCCACACTAATACACGTTGTCGCAGCGTGAGGCTTGAGCTGCGCAGAGTGGGAGCAAGTCTGTTAAAACTACTCCAGGATTCTTTGATACGATGTTTGAGCGTAGCAGCAGCAGCATTGCGGTACGTAATTCTCACTCCTAAGTAGGTGTGCGCTTCCACAATCGGCAATTGTATAGGGCCCGTCTGGGTTTCAAGTCTCACAACTTTGCCTTTGGGAGTGCGGCAGGTATGTTTACGATAGAAACCCTTGACACTGGAACCTTTGACACCAAAGATAACCACTGACTTCTTCGGACTCAGACTAAGACCAAAGGATCTGAGAGTGTCACATATATAGCCAATGTCCTTAATCACAGAGATCAGTTGTGCCTCACTCTCAACAATCCACTGAAAAAGCCAGTCGTCTGCGAAGACAGTTGTGCCTTCCCAGGGGATGCGCTCCTGTAACCTGCTCAGTATGACGCTAGTGAACATAGCCCAAAGAGTGGGTGCTAGGCCGCAGCCTTGCCTGACTCCATTCGTGGTAGGTATGGATGAGGTTTCCCCATTGTGGGAGAAGCGCATGCAGGCCTGTCTATGCAGTTGGAGTATGGCGTAACGGATTTCAGGTTCTATGGAGGCACACTCCAGGGCTGTGGCCAAATGCTTCCTGTCCATGCAGTCAAAAGCTTTCCTAAGGTCGACGGAGAACGAGACTCCGCCCCGGCAGGGAAGGGGGACATGCCCCTGTTGGCGCAGGTGTGGAGTCTGTCGTTGT